TGCAGCGGGGCCCACCCGTACTACAAACAGACTCTTTGGATAAAAGCCCCATCACATGGAATTCACTGTACTTTGTTACAGTGTGTCACTGTGACATTAAATCAACACAGGCATTACAAAAGTCAGGCTTATTTTTTCCATGTCAAGGACTCCAGGGCAGATACATTTAAGGCCAAAAGCCCCATTTGAGAATATTTGTTTCAAGGAACCTCGATCTGATAAAGAAATGTCTTGTTTGTGCCAACTGTTGTTACTGTAGAAAAGCTCTGATCAAAAAACCTTTACTCTTAAAGGGACAGCCAAAATACATGGGGCAGGGATGCAGCGTGGCACATCTGCTGCAGCATGCTAGCACCAGAGCGGATTTATTATAACCAACTGAAGCTATTATACTGATTGTACGAGTCTGTCAAGTCCATGCTTCCCATTCATTGTCTATGTGAGCACCATGGAAAGCATTTTGGTAGCGCAGCGTTGCATTTTGAGAGACGTAGCATCCGCTCCTCATTTGCATAAAGTTAAACCAAGGCGACTTTGTGCCAGTAACGAGCCTCCATCTTGGCTCGCCACCTACATCTCTGCACTAATTTGGTGGAAACTCAACTATTGAAAATCTTTTAAGCTAACCTTTGTCAGTGAACTGTTTTTGTAAATTAAGAGAAAGCATCCAAACGAACCATCATGCTGGTCTGGTTGAATTCTTGGTGCAGACAGTCTATGGTGGCAGTGGCACGCCCATTAAGCATCCAGTGCTGGAAAGCAGTAGATCCCTTGCATCCACGAACATCCCCGTGGACACGTACCTTGACCAGAGATGTTTCACGCACCCGCATGGGCATTGCGCTGCTTAAGTCTATTTTTACGGGCCAGTAAAAATTACACAGAACTGATTAAAAAACAATTGCAATCTATTTAAAAAGGAAATGAATACCTCATTGTACCAGAGGCAATGTGAAGCAGCGGAGAAACCTTGTGTGTGTGTGTTTTTAATTTTCACATTAAAATAAATCAAATCATTGCATCCTGTTGTTAAAACAATACAGTTAATTATTTCAGTACTAGTTATTATAGCATGTGTTTGCAAACCCTGCATAACCAACTGCATGATCACTTGGAGTTTGTGTAGCAGGTAAAAAAACCCTGTTTCACATTGTGTCCGTGCCCCATGTATTTTGGCCATTACTTTACAGGTAAATTAAAAATAACTTTCTTTTTGTTACATCTACAGTCTTATTTTCATCCTTTCTGTCAGTTATGATAACACTGTATCACCAAATTAGTTGTAGAGACATAGGAATATGGTGACATTGCTACAACTAGCAGTCAAATTATTGTTGTAAAGACCATTATGGGTGTTTGTAAAGGACAGTTTGGGTGTTAATTTTACCATTTGTCTTTTATTTCACTTCCAAATACATTTGGCTAACCTTGAGGTTTGTTTTAAAGCTTTATAATCGTCCAACTGCTCGTGTTTTTTTTCCTCGTCTGACTTCTTTATTGTAGCAACGTGGCCGCATTCCCAGATCCCGGCAATTAACTTGGTGAGTACAATGTTATTATTACCCATAGAAATAGCAGCCAAAACTATGAAACCCAAGTTGTAATAAACCAGAATTATCCTTTAAATTAAATAATACATGATTATTGCGCTCCTCATTTTCTCTGAGACAAGCCCCCAGAGCTCAGCCTCTGAGCCACTGCTCCGTTCGTCGGAGGGCTCATTCACTTTGATGTTTATTTAATTTATTTGACCTTTTAATTTAATCGGGCATGTCAGATCCTTCTCCGCTACCTAGGCTGATGACAGTGTGCTCACCCTGTGTGTATGTGTGTGTGTGTGTGTGTGTGTGTGTGTGTGTGTGCACCTTCCCACTGGGGTTATCACGGTTGAGTGAATGTTGGCTGGCGGACAGTAGCGCTGATCACATTTGATGATGGAAATACATACCACAGAGGATTGTGTGTGTGTGTGCGCGTGTTTATGTGTTTTGTGTATGTGTACACAAAAGGCAGAGCGATGGCAGGCGGATCAACGAGGTCACGATAGTCCCGGTTGTGTCTCTGGCTGACATTAGTCTCTCTGTCTCTGCTTATTTGTCTCTGTTTCCTGCTGAATCTACTGTTCTTGTACCTCCATGTTTATCTGTCTTTCTCTTGCTTTTGCATCTCATTGCCCATTTTCCCTATCCACCTGTTCTTTTTTGTCATTACCCAGTTCCTTTAGGGGATCTTCGTGCAGTCCATCATCCCCATCTCGTCATTATAGCCCACTTGTCTCCTCTCTCCTCCTCCCTGCCTCCGTCTAGTGTCCTCATTGTCCCTCTCTCTCTGTGTTTCTCTTTCAATCTCTCTTCATCTCTGTTCGTCTCTTCATCTCTCCCCAGTCTGGATCTTGGCATTTAGGCATCTAATTGAGCTGGCGTCACTTGAATACTTCATAAAGCAGGAACGGCAGAGAATCCCGTCATTGTTTTCTGTGCCTTGACTCAGAGAGAGTGGGCAGGGCTGCTCTGTGTGTGTGTGTGTGTGTGTGTGTGTGTGTGTGTGTGTGTGTGTGTGTGTGTCTGTGACAGAGAGTTTTAAGGAGACAAGGAAATAGAAACTGTGAAAGATTTTGCAAATTGAATGTGCATTTAATGTTTATTTGTATTTTGCTTGAGCGTGCGCCCTTTTCACAATGGCAGCTTTCTTTGCTGTAGGTTTGTGTGCTGAATGCATTGTTGCAAAGGACAAAATACCCATAATAACCATTGTAAACCATTAAACTCTCAGACATTTGGGCATGCATTTTTGCTACTTTTGTTTTGTGACTTATAATCGATCAATACAAAAACAACTATTAGTCGCAGTCCTACATGTCCAATTTGCTTGTGTTTGATATAAAACAGTCGTGAGTCAACACAGTCTCTTTCCTTGGAATAATTCAAGTGACGTGTTTCAAATTTTCATCTGCAGAAGCAGATTTGATTTTTCTTTCCTCAGCTGACATGTCGTCCCCGCCCCCATTCCCCAAAAACTGAAATTAAGCAATAGCCAACTCCTCTTCCAAAATGTGTTTGACAGCTACTTTGGCTCTCCACTAACAAATCCCAGCACATACTTGCACACACACATGCAGACACACACACACACACACACACACACACACACACACACACACACATAAATACCTTGGAACAAATCCCTGGCTAGCTCCACTGTGCTGCAGAGGTGCTGATCAATCAGGGTGAGGTTGTGTGGTCTCCTTTTCTTGATGCAGCACATAGTTGTAATCTTTACCTTTCACTCTCTGTCTTCAAGGCCCTGGGGCAGTGTGTGTGTGTGTGTGTGTGTGTGTGTGTGTGTGTGTGAGGGAGATGGAGGGAGAGAGAAAGGTAGAGACAGACTGATCTTGCTGTACTTGGGACTTTTTCTTGCCTTTTTTTTCAGGTGAGAGAGGTGGAAAGAAGAGTGTGTGAGTGAGAGAAGGAGGTGGAGAGAGAGAAATGGTCTGAGTTCTCGAGTTGCAAACAGAAAGAGGGCCCACTGCAGGATGCCCTACAGGCAACTAATGTAGCTAACACACACACACACACACACACACACACACACACACACACACACACACACACACATAGAAAAAACTGATGGAAAAAAAGTGAAATGTGAAGCAGTGGCAGCTCACATCAGCACATACAGTAAGAGACATGCACACACACACACTGACATGTACACTATTGTGTGTGCGTGTGTGTGTGTGTGTGTGTGTGTACATGTCTTTGTTCTGTCTGGCTGTCCTCTTGGCACGTAAATCATAATGGATCTCATTATCCAGCTGGGATGGCTTGGTGGGGCCTGTCTGGCGGGAGATGATAGCTGGATGGCTGAGGGGCTGCCACCACACGCACACACCCACACATGCACATATACACACATATGCACACTCAGCTTTATCCATGTATGCATGTTATTTAGCTCGCATAGCTACTGTAGGAGCATATATGGTGCATTCCCACTCTTATCATCAACAGAGGGACAGACAACTACACGCATGCACACACACACACACCACACACACACGTGTGTGTGTTTGTAGCCCATCCAGACACAATGGACATTAGTGGCTCAGCTTGCCGTCAGACAGAAGGGGAAGTGATGCAGAGCAGAGGGAGGGATGGATGAAAAATGGAACTTACTCCCTCTCTCTTGTCACCCCCCCCCCCCCCCCCCCCCCCCCCCCCCCCCCCCCCCCCCCCCCCCCCCCCCCCCCCCCCCCCCCCCGTTCTTTCTTTCTTTCCTTCTCCCTCCCTCCCCATCTCCTATCTGTCACTTGTTTGGAGGACACCGGCAGATGTCGGTTTGTCCCTCGAGGTGAGCGGGGCTTGTGCTGCCATCTTTTTCCTCCTTATCACAGCGCAGTCTCCCACATAGGATGCAAGCAAATCATGAATCACATGTACAGGCCATGCAGAAGACATCGGTTGTGCAGTGGAGGAAAAAAAAACAGTTGTGTCCTAGTAAATCACTTGTTTTGTGAGTCTTGTACACAAACGCACACACACATGCTGCAGCCATTCGGTATCTGAGCAGTGCTGGCTTTTATGCTGTGAATACAGGCAGAGCAGTTGGTTGCTCGTAACACGGTTAGGGCCTACACCATTTGTCTGGACATGACCATTACCCAAGCCAATTACTGGCTGGTGTACAGGCGACTCGCCAACAACCTAATGTTTTCCCGTCATGCCTGCCCCCCCTCAAACCCCTCCCCTTACAAACACACACACACAAGCAGAAAGAGGGGGTGAGGAGGAGGGGAATAGATAGAGAGGAAGGATGTAGGGCCCGGGGCAAAACCCCCACCCGACTGACTGATACAGCTAATAAACTTTCATTTAAGCTAATGTTCCCCTTTTTTCTGCCTTCTCTCCCCTCCATACCTCTCTCTCCTCCTCCACCTTTCTCCTTTTACTCTCTATTCTCCACTCTCCATCTCCCTCTCTATTTCTCTGTCTGTGCTCCAGAAGAAGGGCTCGTCCGAGCAATCGATGCGGGCAGCCCACCAGCCGGAAGCCCAGTTGGCCGAACAGCACACCACTCAATCAGTCTGAACAGCAACACAAAGGGGCTGCTGGCGACCAACAGAGGTAGACACACTCTCTGTATACAGCAGTAGATCCTGGACTGAACTCATTTCATAAATCATATACACACCGTACAACAGCAGCTAGCGTGATTCAGTTTTATATAGCTAAACAAAGCCGACTGAAACAACAACAACATATCAAAGTCATCTTTAAAATAGCACGGACAGGCTGGGGTACTTTGGCTCACGTCTCCTCGCCACTGCCAAGCCTTCTATCTTTGAATACTCTAGGTGCTGTGCTAATTAAACTTTCAGACAAAGCATGTTTCTCTTATATTTATAGCAGCTCAATGGGCTTTGTCTGAGACCACATTTGGCTCAGTGTGCACACGTGTGGTTTCCCCTGTGCTCGTACCGGCGTCAGTGAGTGTTGACAGTGGACATGCTCTGTGCAACCACACGGCTTGCAGTTGCTGTGCTTTCACCGTTGTGCTTATGTGCTGCAGACGCAGTGTGTCTGTAGGTTTTAACTCAAGTGTCATTGTGGAAGTTCCAAATAAAAGAAGAAGAAAATCATTCATTCATTTACTTTCCATAAGCGCTAATCCTGTCAGGGGCCCTGGGCGGGGGGCTGAAGCCTATTCCAGCTGACATTGGGCAAGAGGCGGGGTACACCTAAGGGCAATTTAGAGTCACCAGTTAACCTGCATGTCTTTGGACTGTGGGAGGAAGCCGGAGTACACAGAGAAAACCCATGCTAACACGGAGAGAACATGCACACTCCACACAGAAGGGCTCCCCCATCACAGACACACTTAGCCGACAACAAAGAACTAGTGCCGACAAAGGCCGACTGTTGCCTCATGTTGCCTGTGTCCTGGCCTCAAAGTTGAACTTCAACACACTGCTGGGGGAAATAACTCTCCTTACTAACAGGTGGCGACTAACGGGACGGATTCAAGACACTAGTTAGCCAGTTAGCACATTAACAACATAGCATAACAAAAGATATCTACCTAAAAAGATATTTAGCAAGCAATAACACAAACCATACAAACTTTTTTCTGCTAAAGAGCTGAATGGCTAAAAGAATAATTTCACCTTATATAACAAGTTTGTTTCAATTTCACACCCTCTTGACTTTTTGTTTGCTTACCTCACTTTAGTTTCTCTCCTGCTCTGAGGTGAACTGCCAATAAAATTGATTTCATTTACCAATGGGCTCCGCTGGCTGTGATGCCAGGTGTGCCAAGGTGTCGGATAATTCACAAAAACTAGGGTGACAAACTCAGTGACGGCCTCATCATGCCCCATAAATACAGTGACTGTGATATACACCATGATAAGAGATTTTGGCCATATTGGTCACCCGTAGCTGCCATTAACGATTTCATGGTTGGTGTCAGAAAATAGTGATTTCATGCCTGTCATGATTTCCAGAATAATGTCTTCAAATGAGTTGTTTCTTTCGCCCACCAGTCCACAGCCAAACGGCGCTCAATTTACAATAATATATAATTTCCAAGAATAATATGTATTTACAATAATACATACAATAATATATATAAAATCAGCAAACATTTAAAACTGATGAATCATTTAGCAAAAATTGTGTCTGTGCTATCTCTGTACTTTTTGCAGCATGGTACATGCAAGACACAACCTCAGCTGGCAGCACCCTGGTTACACAGTGTGCCCAATCACACTATTGTTCCATTAATTTTGTACTACAGCATGTATAGACACTGTACACTGGTTAGTTTTATCTGGTGCAACACCTTAATGGCTAATCTTGGCCATTTTAAAGTTCAACATTTTTGTCAAAAGCAGAGCTTAAACACAATTAACATTGATTCTCCACCTTAATCTGATAATAATTGGTTCCCCGAGACCTGTGTGTTTATAATGTGCTAGGCTGTCTACAACAACAACATCCTGAGCGCCCGCTAATTGAAATCATCTCTTCATGTGCCACAAGTCAGGATCCATTAAGGCAGATTAGGCCCCAACGAACAGTAAAGCGCGGTAAATCAGGGTCATCAGATGGCATGGGCCGTCAGAGGAGAAATCCCTCTGCACATGCTCTCTCAGCAGAAGGACAGCAGAGGCGAGCTGTCAGGGACTGAGCGGCCTCGGCGCTGCCGTTAAGTACACTATCTGGCTCACTCCTGTCAAGGACCTTTGGTGGCTTTTGATATGTGAAATGAGAGTTTGATTTGTTGAGTGCACAACAGCCTGAAGTAGAATTGCTTTGTTTCCCTCCTTTGTCCACTGACCTACAGGTAAACACGTCTCCATCACTTCATATTACTTTTTCTCTTTCTCTGTCTCTAAATTGCATTTAATGCCTAAAGTGAACAAAGTAAGTGTCACTTGAAAGATGATTGAAACATCTTCCCTACAACCTACATGTTAAGCTTAGCTGGATTTCTGTGATATGAGCAGAGTTCAACCTGATATATACGTGCATCACTGCTGCATGCCCGTCCTCCCAAAGGTGCATGGCCCTGTATGCTCTGCCACTGGATGTGTGCCGCAGTAGGTGATGCAGACAGTCTTAGTATTTTTTAATAAGACGGGCAATAACAATAAATCCTACGGGCTGATCACCCACTCGCCACTCTTCTTCTCTTCCAACCAAACCCAGAGCGGTGCAGCATTACCCTGCTGCCGCCTTCAATTACGCCATTCATCATGCGTCTTATCTGGCCGCCGGTTTGATTGAGTGTGCAATGGGAGGCGTCGCAAACCCCGCATTCTCAACTGTGTGTGTGTGTGTGTGTGTGTGTGTGTGTGCGCGCATGTTGGGGGTGTTGACAGGAATGGAAAACTGCATTTGGGGGGATGCGGGCATGTGGTGGCGGGTGTATATGGGATGTATTGGGATGTATGAGTGTGTGAAGAGAGGCTCAAGTGCGTGAAGGGAGTGTGTGTGTGTGTGCATGGCAGATCTACAGGAGTGTATAAATCAAACCAGATGATCGTCCCCCCACTCTGATCCGCTCTGTCTCAGCAAGCACATTTCTCCTTTTTCCCCTCCTACTGTCCCTGTACTTCCTTCCTTACCTCCTTCCCCCTCATCCTCCCCCCCTCCACCTCCTCCTCCTCCTCTTCTTCTCTGGAACAGATTTGTCTGGGGGCCCCTGTCTAATCTCCAGCAGTGCCGGGTGTTGGGAGACGGGCGACAAATTTTAATAAGCAACTGGGCGCTGTAATTTAGCGGCCTGGGAGGGAGATTAGGCTGATTGATGCTGGGCTCGTCTAATGGTCCAGCCTACGGCTCCCGGCCCAAATTGGTGGTAATGAAAGTTTTGTGCAAATTGAGATGGAAGAAAATAAGGCATCCACACTCTCTCTATCTTCATTCAATCTTTGTATTCATCCCCCTGTTTCTGTCGTCCTGTTCATTTTCTCCCCTGCTCTCAATCTTTTTGACAAGGTGTGTCTTTCTCTCCATCTCCATCCATCACATCCTCATTCTTTCCTCCCCCCTTTCTTTTCTTTATCTATTCCACTTTCTCTCTTTCAGGCTCTTTCTTCATCTCTGTCTTCCTTTTTCATGCCCACCGCTCGCTCTGCCTCGTTACCGAAATCGATTTGTCCCTCATCTGATCCCCCCCCCCCCCCCCCCCCCCCCCCACTGTTTTATAGTTTCTCTCTGGCACTCCCGAGTCACTTTCTGTCCCTACTTAACTCCACCTAGTAGGTTATTTACTTTACTCCCTCCCTCCTCTTTCTTGGCCATGCCTGTAGGAGATTTATGTGTGTGTGTGTTTGTGTGCAGATGGGTCGTGAGGTGTTGTCTGAGCCGCTCCGGTGTTGTCAGGACAAATTCATCGAGATCTACAGAGAGATGGGATGACAACACTGATGGCTGTCTCCCTCTACCACCACCTCTCTTTCCTTGTATTCCTCTATTTGCTCTGTCTGTTTCTCTTTCCCTCTCTCCCTTGCTTTCTCACTTCACCCCACCAAATCACTTTCAGCTGGCCTGCCACTCCGACAGGCTCCATCTGCCATGCGTTATTAGGTTGTGGAGATTTCCAGGCCACTTTTCAGGATATGGCGAATGCATGTCAGTGTCCAGCGACCTGTCCCACTGGCAAACTTTGCATTGTTCCATATATCTGTTAGAATGTTTTTTGCAATATAACAAATTCCAGTAAGTAATACCAAGCAAATCCCAGTTTAGTTACAGTTAGTTTGCAGTTAGCTGTCTGAGATTTGACTTCAAGGTTGTTACAAATAACTGCATTGCTGCTCTTTGTTTCTGTGAAAGCTTTGAGTAAATAAAAGAATAACGGTGATAGCTTCTAGGGGCATCAGAGAAAAGAGTTCCAGCTACAGAAACACACACATGGGCCTCATGCAGGAAGCGATATACGAACAGATTTCCTCTTATTTTTGTTTGTATCCATGATTTGTTCTTATTTTTAGTATTCACTGATTCTCTTGGATTCATCAATGTTTTCCTATTTTTGCTCTGCTCTTAGGTACAATATTTTTTTTCGAGTGGTCATGAGCACTCTTACCAAGATGAGACAGAAAACATCTCACTCTACAGTCCACAAATTGTCCAACATGTGGACACACAAGTCTAAAATTTGAGTAATATAAAGAAACGCGTGAATATCATGACATCTGATTTAGATTATTAGATTTCTTTCATGTCATTTAGTTAGCGTGTGTCCCTCTGCTGACACAGCATTTGCAGCATCACAAACGTTTTGCCATTGCTTGGTTTTTAATTTTCCTGTAAAGCCAGTACTGACACTTTGGAAAATAACATTTAGTTTAACGGTATGTCGATTTCACTACTGCTGGAGTTCTTTTTACAGCCTTTTTTGGTGGCATCTCTCCAATTTTTCAGCATGTGCCAGAGTATTTGTACACGGCACAACACCCCTATAGTGTTTAGGGGACATTACTTACTTTGACTGATAACAAACAATCAGTCATGAGCCTTCAATTTATGATTTAGTTGGAGTCATCATTCAGCACATATTGGTAAGAGCAGCTTTGGATGGTTAAGAACATTTGGTGCATCTGGAATTGACTTCT